TTCAGCACGGTTTAAACGGGGTTGAAAGAGGACAAAAAGGAGACAAAATGGAGACAAAATGGAGACAAACCCAGACTTTTCGGGACTTTTTTAGAGACTTTTGAGCGACTTTGAGGAAGTCTAAAGGGTTTTTTCAAAAGAATGAGAAATGCATTTGGTGGGAAATTGATGAAAGTTGAAAGGAGACAAAAAAAAAAGAAAAAGAAGATTAAAAAGAGACAAAAAAGAGGCAAAACGGAGGCAAATGGAGATTTTTTGAGACTTTTGAGGGGACTGAAAGGGATTTTAAGAAAGATTTAAATGGCATTTTAAAGGGACTAAGAAGAGTATTTGATGGGGAATTGATAAAGATTAAAAAGAGACAAAAAGAGATTTAAAAGGTATTCAAAAAAGATTCAAAAAAGATTTGAAACAGATTTAAAAAGGATTCAAAAATGATCTAAAAGAAATTCGTAAGATATTCAAGAAATTTAAAAGATATTTAAAAGATATTTAAAAGATATTTTTAAGAGGTTTAAAGGCAGTTTAAAAAAGAACTAAGAAAGGGAACTATGAGACACAGATGCAGGCAGAAGAGATAGCAGCAGCAACAGCAGCAGCAGCAGCAGCATCACACACACGCAGCAGCAGCAGCAGCAGCAGCATCACACACACGCAGCAGCAGCATCAGCAGCATACACAGCAGCAGCCGCATATGCAGCAGCAACAGCAGCAGCATATACAGCAGCAGCATATGCAGCAGCATATACAGCAGCAGCATATACAGCAGCAGCATATGCAGCAGCAGCAGCAGCAGCAGCAGCAGCAGCAGCAGCAGCAGCAGACCTTGCAGAGTTCAGGGGCCATGAATGCGGGAGTGCCGCACTGGGTCTTCGCCTGTTGAAGAGTAAATTCCAAAATCTTCGAAAGGCCCAAATCCCCCACTCGCACGTAATTGTTTTCATCTAGAAATACATTTGCGGGTTTTAAATCTGTAAATAAATAAATAAATAAATAAATAAATAAATAATTAATTAATTAACTAATTAATTAATTAATTATTTTAATTGAATAAATGATTAATAATTATATAATTGGTTAATTTTCTGAGTAAATTAGCATGTAACTGCTTTCATCCAAATAACGTTTATGCGCTTTAAATCCGTAAATAAATAATTTATTGTTTAATTAATTTAATTAATTAATAAGTAAATTAGTTAATTAATTAATTAATCAAATCAATTAATTAAATTTGTTTAGTTTAATTATTTTAATTGATCAAATTTACCTCTATGCAGTACCTTATGTTTATGCATAAAGTCTAGTGCAAGAACCCGCTGCAGCAGTCAAGTCTTTAACCAATTAATTAAACAAATTAATTAATTGAATATTTATTTTAATTTAATTAATTTATTCATTTAATTTAATTAACTAATTAATTTAATTACTTAATTAATGAATATACCTCTATGCAATATTTTGTGTTTATGCATGAAGTCCAAAGCAATGGCTAACTGCAGCAGCCAAGTCCTCAAAGTGATTTCGCTGAAAGGCTTTCGCTGCCGCTTTCGCTCGCGAATCAGCTTCGCCATGTCGCCCCCTGAACAAACCCTAAACCCTAAACCCTAAACCCTAAACCCTAAACCCTAAACCCTAAGCCCTAAACCCTAAGCCCTTGGCTGTGGAAGTTTTGGGCTTTTCTTTCCCGAGTCAACTCCACCGTGTTTTCTGATTTAGACAAAGCAGAAAGCCCTAAACCCTGGCCCGTAAACCCCAAACCCTAAACCCTAAACCCTAAACCCTCGTTCGCACCCTCGCAGAAGTCCATAACGATGCAGAGGTGAGGGTTTCCGTGATAAGTGTCGTTAAATGCATTTCTGTAGTGAACAATAAAAGGGGCCTCGACCAGTTTAGACAAAACCTGAAAAACAAAAACAACCCTAAACCCTAAACCCTAAACCTTAAACCTTAAACCCTAAACCCTTGAGACGTACCTGTATTTCTCTTTTCGCCTCCTCTATATCTTCCTTGTTCATTTGCCTCGTGTTAATGAGCTTCATTATCAGTCTGACGAAAACAGCGCCCCACAAAACCCTAAACCCTAAACCCTAAACCCTAAACCCTAAGGAGAGACGTCTTTCTAGGTCTTGCAGAATCTCTAAAACCACTAAACAGAATAGCTCTGGAATACCCGAAAAGACAGGGAACTAAGCTTTAGGGCCTAGGGTTTAGAATTTAGGGTTTAGGGTTTAGGGTTTAGGGATTAGGGTTTAGGGTTTACTTGCGTCCCGCCCTGTCCTTCACGAGAACTGCCTTGCCGAAAGAGCCGCTGCCGACGACAGAAAC